GAAAGCTTCCAGCAGTCCAGGGTACTCCTCTGGTGCCCCATAGATGCTGATGAGAAACTGCAGGTGGGCAGCTGAGGAGCTCTGATCAGAGGGGGCTCCAAAGCCACCCCACCTCATCCTCCCCCCGAAACTGCACCAGGGCCTAACCAGAGAAAGAGTGCCTCTCGGGACTTCAGCAAAGGGAGCCTCCCCCCATGGGGTTCCTTATACTGGTCCCTGCTCTAGTGGCTCAATAAGGTCTGTCTCCGTTTCAAGGAGACACAACACCAGTGGAGACCTGTGTTCCCAACCTCAAAACATCTAGGCCTCCTCAGGAAAAGCTTCCTTGTCACTATCCTAGACAGGCAGTTACTGGGACTGGAGAAGACACAGCGGTGGGCAGCAGGGAGGAAGCCGGCAGTCGGCAGTCGAGCAGGGAGTCTGATTAACAAACCCAAGAAGCCATGAGGAAAGCCGAGGAGGCCCAGGAGAAATGCCTTCGGTGGGGAGGATCTTAGCAGGTCCTGCCAAGACCCTGTGTGGTAAGGGACTGTACGGCATCTGGGAGGCCAGGGTCTGAGGCGACAGACTGAGGGACATGAGGGCCAGGCCCTGGGACAAAGCAACTGTGGGTCCCCATCCATCCCCCACACTAGCATCTTCAGCTGCTGCAGCAGGGTCCTCTGACCCTGTTGCCATGACAACCAGCCTGCAGCTGGAGTGGAGAAGCATTAGACTATCCTCCAAAAGCACTCTACCTCCCCCCAGGCTCCCAGTGACATAGAGACCAGGCTGGGGCAGTCAGGGGTGTGGGGGAACACCCCCCCCAACCCCTTTCCACCCCGCAGACTTGGAAAACAATGGCCCTGAGGGAAAAGGGGCATCCGGAAAGAGAGGTCCCAAGTGTGGAAAGAAGCAAAGAAAGCAATATGGGGGAGGGGGGTGAGGCCAGGAGGACAGATGGCTGGCCAGGTGGCCGAAACTCCAGGGGATAAAGGCAGGAGATAACAGGTAGGGAAGCCAGAGCAGGGAGGACCCGGAAATGAAGCAGAGATGTTGGAGCATGGGCAAACAGAGGCCGCAGGTTAGCTGGCAAGGGCAGAGAGATGGAAACAAAGAGTAGAAGGATGGCAAGGGACAGAGACCAGGAGAGCTTACAGGTTGCATAAGCGCAATGAGGGAGCAGGGGTGTGGACCAGCCAGCACCTGCCGACAACCACCATGGAGCAATCCACCAGGTGATACTGCCTCAGCCCCACACCTCTGGGCTCTGCTCCTGAATCCATCTTGACCTGACCCTGGGCCTGACTTTAAGGGCCAGCGAGCAGCTCCATAGCCCCTGGGCACCCATGTCTCTCCTCTCAGCCCCCTCCCACTTCCTAGCAGTCCCAGCAACTGAGCAATGGGCTGTCTGGCTCCAGGCCCTGACACTGCACAAAGCTGAGCTAGAGGCACCGACACAGCACAGCTGTCTTGGGTGGCGCCTGCCAGCAAAGAGCCTGCCTCCCGCCTCCTTCCGGGCTGACCCTACTTCCCTGTGGCTGGTGAACCCAGGAAGAGACCTGTGGAAGGCACAGACAGAAACAAAAGGTGCCCTCCACCGTCCTCATCCCCGCCTCGCTCCTCAGCCCACAAACACGAGCACATACAATCCTGAGTATACACACATACACACAACCCAGGTCAGATCACTGCAATCTGCACCAAAAATGAGCATTTCAAACTGGGAGGGCTTGGAGCGTGGGGAACGCGTAACAGACCACTGTCTCCGTCCCAGGCCCAGGTATCATGGTAGGAGGTGAGCCACTTCAGGGCATGGCTGACCAGCCTGTTAGCCCACAAGCTAGGTGAGAGCCAGGGTTGGATTACCCAATAAGCAAGGTAAGCATGGGCTTACTTATGCTTATTTACTAACCTGTAGTGGACCCTTTCACATTTTCTTACCACATCAAAATATTCTGCTTTCGGAATCAAGGATGCTTTTCACATTTACAATCCCTAGCAAGGATGGAGTACCCAGTAATGCTGGGTACAGGCTTCCTGTACTTACTAAGCAGCAGTGAACAGTTTCACTTTTTCTTCCCCCCACCACATCTTTGATTGTGAAATTGGTCGCTGCGGGTTAGTCAGTGAGCACAAGCCAACCTGTGCTTACTCTGCTTGCTGGGTACTCCAGCCCTGGAATCGAGACGGGCAGGCAGAACTGGCTGGTGGAAGGCTTTCTTGGCTGCAGCCCCATGTGGAGCAGTCGTGTGAAGAGTGGAAAAAGGCTTGGAGTTGGAAGACATGCCTTAGCCTCACTCCCTCCAGATTCCCTGGTAACCAGACCCCTGGTTCTCAGTTTCTTCACCTGTAACTTGAGTGGGTTGTGTTAAATTATCCTTGAGGTCACCTCTAGTTCCAAGATTCCATGATAACCCTTCTGCAGAAAGGACTCCGTGGCCATCCTGGTTAGAGAAGGGAAGAGCGCCAACTCCACTGAGGAAGGCCCCTCGCACACACACCCCAGTGAAAGACTGAAGCCTCTATGTGCCTCTGGCCAAGGGCCCAAATTACACATCACCAGCAGGGGCCACAGGGCATTGGCATAATGATTTGACCGTTCGAAGCACTCTCTAAAAAGCAGCCTTGTAGCATCATTGTAAGGTTTCCGAGCGGGATTCATGATCTCATTTTGCAGAAGTAGCTCAGAAAAGGCGTGTCCAGTATTATATCATTTCAAATGTTAGACCTGGGCCTAGGATTCATGTGTGTTCTTTTCATTATACCAGTTTCCAAATTTTATAAATGAAAAAATATTAATGAAGTTATATACAATATGCTGGGAGCTCTGGGGGCGTAGTGGTTATGGCTTGGGCTGCTAACTGCAAGGACAGCAGTTTGAAACCACCAGTGGCTCTGAGAGAGAAAGACCCACCTTTCTACTCCTGTACAGAATTATAGCCTCAGAGACTCCCAGGGGCAGTTCTACCCTGTCCCATAGGGTCACTATGAGCCAGCATCGACTCGATGGCAGTGAGTTTGGTTTGGAATATCCAATATATAAATACACCTGTGAGATAGATTATTGTGCCAGCCTGGCCGATAAACACAAGTGGGATTAACTGAAGGGCGGTGAGATAAATGGCTTGGTGAGCCTCGCCTTTCTTGTCCCTCGCTCTTTGATCATCGGACCAGTGTGTGGCTGCCTTGCTTGTTCTGTACCTCCATTAACAGGCTACACTACCTGTGGGACGCCTAGCCTGTGGACTGTGTCGCTGTAAGTTGAGGTCCCTTTAAGACTTCTGGAGCTAGGGACTGGCGGTTGGTGATCTGGCTGACAGTTGGTGACCTGCCTTGTGATTGGCTGCTGTGCTGACATAGCCTAGCTCTCTATATATAGAGAGGAAAACCTGGCAGCAGACTAGACTTGAAGGACTGCTAGTGTCTCACAACTCTGTCACCAGAGTGAGTTGCACTAAGCCATTTGTACTGCTTTATAATATAACTGTTCATTTCTTGTATTATATATTTATCTGTATATGATTTAACACTTCATTTCTTGTTATATATCTAATTATCTTTATAAATAAATATATTAAATTATCAGCAATTTGGTTTTGTCGCTCCAGAGAACCCTAACACAACCTGTAACCACTCAAGTGTCATTTTTAATATATGGCCAAGTGGGCGGAGCCCTGGCCACACAGACCTGGGTTCCAACTCCAGTTGTGCTTCCTTCTTGCTTGCTGTGTGACTTTTGGGAATTTGCTTAAATTCGCTGAGCTTCCTTTTCCTTATCCATGCGGAGATGGAAATAGCACTACTTCCCATGGGAGGGTGCCCACACATTGTGTAGAGTCACCATCCATTGTCAGTTATCTCGATCTTATCTCATGAAAAGATAAGAACACATCTGCTCTGTGAAAAGGCTCAGGGATGCATCAATTTAAAAAATAAAATTTAAAAATCAGACCTTCTGGCGTCCCAGGAGAAGCTCTATTTGCTATGTGATGTCAGTATGCATACCCGCAGACGCAGGGCCACATGGGCCAACCCTGATCACTCAGGGAACACTGTGTGGCCCAGGGGCCTGAGGCACACTCCCTTGGCTTCACTTGGAGTTGGGGCGAAGTGTATTCACTGTATATCGAAGATACGCTTCATGAGGGCAGGAGCCTGCTTGCCTCTTCCCTGCAAAGTCTCCAAGAGCCTGGCGCAGGACCTGGCTTGTATTGTTTAGTAAATGCCGGTGGAATGCATGCTGGTGAGCTGCAGGGTCCTGTCCCCGCGGAGCCCTCTGCCTTCCCAGAACAGAGCCCACCCCAACGGGGCAGGCCCCGCCCAAGGTTCTGTTTATCTGCTCTCAGGAAGCCCAGAGCAGCTGGACTGGGAAGCGGCAGCTGAGCAGGGACACCTGGCGCAAAGAGGCAAGGGGGGGCGGGGTGGGGACCATGGGCTGTTCCACAGATGAGACAAAGGGAACTGCGGTTGTTGGGTTGCTAGACAGGGCATTCTGTCCAGGTGCAACTGAGAGAAGAAACCAAATGAGAGAGAAACCAAATGAGTTTTCACTGCGGGACTCTGCCCCACACACACTCCACCCCCGCCATCAGTGACTTCTTCCCAGACCCGTCACCAGGCAGGGACAGCCTGAGGCAGGTCAATACTCAGCACCCCCACACCCGTGCCCCGACGTCTGCACCCTCACCCCATGGATTCACCTGACCTTCTGGTTCCCTTCTGTCATCTTATTCAGCTTTCGTACACCTACCCAGAGAAGGTGCCACCAGAGGTGCCAGACCCACAGCCAAGTGACTCCTTGACTACCTCGAACTACCATCCCACCGGAGGGCACGTAAGGGACCCAGATCACCCGCCTGGCCCCACGCCCATCCCACGCCCACGGGCCGGCGCACTGCCAAGGCAGCACCTCGAACCACGCCTCCCGTGCAACCCTCTGGACCCAGGGCCGCTTTCCCACCGCCCACCTCGGCACCCCGCCCCGCCCCCTAGCCCCGCCCCGCCCTGGCCCCGCCTACCATCCTTCCGGTAAAAGGCGATCTCCACTTTGCGCTCCTCGGCGCCCAGTAGGGCCTGCGCTATCTGCGCGGCGGCGCGCCGCTGCGTGCGCGGCCCGTGCAGGAAATCGCAGGTGCAAGGCCGCTGCATCACCTCGGCTCGAGAGTAGCCGCACAGCTCGCAGAAGCCGTCGTTACAGTAGATGACGGCGCAGTTCTCCACCCGAGCGTTGGCGATGATAAACTTGCGGCCTGGGGGGTGGGGAGAAGTGGGCACGTGAGTGGAGGACCCCGGCTTTCCCCCATCTTCTGTCACAGCCACCTGGGGATTCCCTAGCCCCAGGGGGCACAGCGGGGACTGGGGTCCCCAGCAGGAGGCGAATGCAGCTGGACCCCACCACACAGGTGTCTCTGCCCGGGGCACAGCTTGGCGAGTGCGCCCCCTTCCCCACCCGTCCCGTGGACAGGCTGAGAGCTTCCCCCGGGCAGGCAGCCAACACTCACCACCGCCCCCCTCCGCGCCCAAGCAGAGGCCAGCCTGGGCGGGTGTCTGCAAAGCGTGTCAGCAGCCGCAGCAAACGGATAAACACTAGTCCTAGCCTGGGGAGGGCCGGAGATGGCGCCCGCGAGCAGCCCCTCTGCGTTGGCTGCTCTGGCTTCTAACTCTTGACCCCAACTCTCGCAGAATGAGAGGAATGAGGGGGGCGGGGCGGCGCTTCCTGGGTCACTCCTTACCCTAGGTCTCCCTAAGACCTGTACTTTCTGGGTGCGCTTCCTCGCTACCTTGGGTGGGGTGCAGCTATAGAGGATGAGGGAAGTACTGAACTTCTTGCCGGATCTCACTCCCAAAACCCCATAAGATAGGTATGACTGTCCTTATTATATAAAGAAACGGAGGCTCGGGTGGAATGAAGAAGCATGTTTAAACCTTGCAGTTTGTCAATGGCAGAGCCATGTGTGTTTCTATCTCTGTCTGGCAGAAGGGGAGGGCCAAGTTGAGGGTCCCAGGTGGAAGTCCAAGGTCACAGGGAGTACGAAAAGGTCCCTGTAGCTTTGAACCCCAAGAATCCTTGGAACCCAGCAATGGGCCTGAAACCATTGGCTCATTCATGGAACAGCAGACTCAGGAAAAGGGACCTTCGTCCAGAAACTCTATGCCATTTTCAGATTTGGCCCCACCTAGGAGAGAAGTCCCAGTGGCTCCTGTTTAGCTACCCTTGGATCACGGTCCACATCTCCCTGGAAAGCCAGACTGATGGGTAAGCAGCAGGCGGCAGCAAGCCCAGCCTGTGCCAAAGGACGATGCGCCAGGGAGATGAGCTTCTTAGACACAGAAGTTTCCGGCCACTCTGACTTCTAATGCTGGGGCTTTAAGCAGCAGTCAGAATTCTGACCCTCTCAGCCCCCTTGGCGAAGCCCTGAGTCTGCAGCTTTGGATAATTCCTTGGACAAGATCCAGGGAGCTGAGGCAGAGGCTCTCCGAGGCAGGTTGTGGCCAGTAGGATCTGGCCTCCAGAAAGTGAATGCTTGGAACTGAGTATTTAGCCCTCCCACCCCCACCCCACTCCAGCGAGTCAAACTCCCAGATAGCCACCAATCCCAGAATCAGGGCCCCAATCACAAGAACAGACCCCTTGGTTTTTGCTTCTATCTCCACCTCAACCCAAAGCAGCCAGCCCACCAATCACACTAGTTTTGTGGCAGAAATCCTTGGTTAAGACCTAGCTAGGCATTGGGCTACTAACCACAAGGTCAGTGGTTCAAGCCCACCAGCTGCCCCATGGGAGAATGAGGAGGCTGCCTGCTCCCGTAATGATTTTCAATCTCGGAAACTGCATCAGAATCAACTGGATGGCAGTGTGTTTGGTTTGAGTTTATTGTCCGTCCGCCCGAGGCCTTGGAGAAAAGGAGTTGTTTGTTTGGGGTTTTTTTTTCCCCCACCCCTACCCCTACCCCCACCACATTCCTAAGATGCTGGAATATCAGCACAGAAGAGACCTGAAAGACCACCTCAGAGCTGTGGTAACAGATCCAGAGAGGAAGGAGAGTCACTCAAGGTCAGAGGTGGGAGAAGCTAGGGCACTGAGTGCCAACCCAGTGTGCCATCGTGTGTACACAGTCTCTGGAGCAGGTGGAGAGGGAAGCCCCTGAGCCCCACCCTGCCTCACTCCTACCAATATCACTATCTCCTCCCTCTTGAGATCACCCTGTTCCTCAGCTCCAGACAATGCTTCCCATTGGGCTGGCCCCCTCCCCCCCACCACCATGGTTATAAGCACACGTTGTCCTGTGCTCCCAGGGTCATGTGCAAGGAATGTCACCCTCTCCCAGCTCCCAGGGCCCTTGGCAATCACACCCTCCCCCTTCCCTCCCATGCCTATAGACATGATTCCTGGTGTTTAGGCACAGGCAAGCAGGGTGGGTACAAATGGCCACACTCGGAACATTTACCTAGCCTGGAAGCCTCCACTACCAGGTCAGGGGTAAGGATGCTGTCAGTCCTATAAGGAGTCTGGGGGATAACATGTAGAGCAGAAAGATCGGCGACATGGGGGCACTAGAGCCAACCTGTGTACCCTCAAAGCCCAACTTCAACCCCATGACACCAGCTCACCCCAGGGCCCACAGTCATGTAGCTCTGGCCAATAGATCTCCCTACTGCCCATTCAGGGCTAAACTCATGCATGACACACACCGACTCCGGCTCAGAGATACACCCCATATCTTAGCTTTCAGATTCTCACATACAACACAATCAGGACAGCTCACAGGGTGCACAGAGGGCCCCTCTGGGTTAATCACTCCGTCCTTTGACCCTCCTCTCACGGACAGCCCTCGCCACGCCACATCCAGGCACCCAGAGTTGGGGATCCCTACACATTCCCATCCCAACTCCCTCCGCTGCGCCCTCAAGATGTTCCCCTCACCCTCAGCCCGCGCTCCAGGGGCCTGAGACGGACCTTCTGCCTTGCCCCCAACACCGGGTCCCTCTGGTCACAGGCCCGCGGCTCCCGGAGCTCCAAGCCCTGCCTGCCACCCGCGGCCTGTGGCCAGCGCTTCAGGCCCTGAAGCAGCCTCCATTTGATTCGCACTAAACAAGGCAAAAGGGCCGGGCACGCCCCCCATTCACACTCGGGAGAGCTGGACCCGCCCTCAGAGCCCCCTCCCCACATGGCCCCTCCCCCACTCACTTTGGCCTTCAAACTTGCGGATGATGGTGTCCAGGAAGGTATTCTGCGGAGCGACGTGGCCCCTCCGCACAGGCATCCTGAGCCCATGGGCGGGCCGGGGGGGCACCCACCCACCCCGGCCCGGCCCGGCCCGACACTAGGCTTTGGGTGTTCCCGCCCGGCTGTAGTCCCGGCACTCGCGGCCAAGCTGAACACCTGCGGGGCCGCGACTGTTTTGAGGGCGCGGAGCGGGGGCGGCGTCCCGGTTCACCTCCCGGGTCCGGACCTCGGGCCCGGCCTGAAGCCGCCAGACCTCTGGCCGCCCGGCTTCCCGCACACCTGTCTGCCCGCTCCTCTGAGCCGCGGGCCCGTTCTGCCGCCGGTCTACGCGGCGCTCCTCCCTC